CCATAAAACCAAAAGGCCTTCATATACTTCGAAAAAACCGGTTCAATCAGGCTACCCTCGGCAAAAGCAAATTATAAGGGGCTTCGATATAATCAGCCCTCGAATAATGTGAAGGCTTCGATAACATCAGCCTTCGAAAAAATCTCAAGAGGTATTTGATTAACGTTGCATATCAAATTACAAATGAGGTTCCAATCAGTCGAACCTTCAAAAAACCCAACGGGTACGAAAACACATGCCAAGGCATAGAAAAATTAACACTAAGTCTTTTAGCCAAAAAAGGGGGGGGGGGGAAATTATAGCCATTCTTAGAGGCCAAATTGGCCCAACTAAAACAGCCTAAGGGCTAACCTAAAAGAGCCTAAGGGCTGACCTAAAGAGCCTAAGGGCCAACCTAAAAGAGCCTAAGGGCCGACCTAAAGAGCCTAAGGGCCAACCTAAAAAAGCCTAAGGGCTAACTTTACTTTGAGTTCGAGCAAATCCTCACTCGACTATACAGCCCACGGGCTATCTTAACCCGAGTTCGAGCAAACTCTCACTCGGGGACTATCTATAAAGCCTAAGGGCTAACTTTACTTCGAGTTCGAGCAAATCCTCACTCGACTGTACAGCCCACGGGCTATCCTAACCCGAGTTCGAGCAAACTCTCACTCGGGGACTATCTATAAAGCCTAAGGGCTAACTTTACTTTGAGTTAGAGCAAATCCTCACTCGACTATACAGCCCACGGGCTATCTTAACCCGAGTTTGAGCAAACTCTCACTCGGGGACTATCTATAAGCCTAAGGGCTAACTTTACTTCGAGTTCGCGCAAATCCTCACTCCACTATACAGCCCACGGGCTATCTTAACCCGAGTTCGAGCAAACTCTCACTAGGAAACTATCTATAAAGCCTAAGGGCTAACTTTACTTCGAGTTCGAGCAAATCCTCACTCGACTATACAGCCCACGGGCTATCTTCCCGAGTTCGAGCAAACTCTCACTTGGGGACTATCTATAAAGCCTAAGGGCTAACTTTACTTCGAGTTCGAGCAAATCCTCACTCGACTATACAGCCCACGGGCTATCTTAACCCGAGTTCGAGCAAACTCTCACTCGGGGACTATCTATAAAGCCTAAGGGCTAACTTTACTTCGAGTTCGAGCAAATCCTCACTCGACTGTACAGCCCACGGGCTATCTTAAACCGAGTTCGAGCAAACTCTCACTCGAGGACTATTATTAAAGCCTAAGGGCTAACTTTACTTCGAATTCGAGCAAATCCTCACTCGACTATACAGCCCAAGGGCTATCTTTATTTCAAGTTCGAGCAAACATTCGCTCGACTACTAAGCCCACGGGCTATCTTAACCCGAGTTCGAGCAAATTCTCATTCGGGAACTCTCCATAAAGCCTAAGAACTGTCTTTATTTCAAGCTCGAGCGAATGCTCGCTCGACTATAAGCCCAAGGGCTATCCGAGTTCGAGCAAATTCTCACTCGAGGACCACGAAAAGTTCTAAGGATTATTTTATCTCGAGACCTTGCTCTCACCTAACTCGGGCTCGAGAATCCCGACGTTCCAAGTTCACCTTCAAGCTTCGCTCGAGGATTAACAAAGACCTCGAAGTGTATTGTATTGATCGTTTAAAAACCTAGGGGTTTATTATGTCCTAAAGATCGATATTTGAGATAGTCATTGAAATCATAAAATAGAGTCTTTTACGAATAAGGACATAATAAAATCCAGCATGGGCCGAATGGGATACAAAAAAAAATCCTTTTATATATTTCCAAGAAATGATTACAAAGTACGACTATGGCACCCACAAAGGATACTTACACGGGAACAAAGAAGCGTAAACAAAAGCTAAAGATTCTAATTCACTTTTAAGGTCGTTTCCTCGAGAGCATCATCTCCGGAAATCCTCTTCTCGGGGATACCATTCCAGATCTCTGGGAACGTATATATGGGACAGGAAGCCCTCGATAAGGGTAATTATATCTCCAGCAACAGAGATCGAGCATTCCGTCAAAACTTTGGGCTACCATACATCAAGAAAGAGCGAGCAAAAGGGAAAAAACCAAAAGGGGTTGCAAGATGCATGAGCAACAGTCCAAGAATGATCATCTTCGGAACTCTGTTCCGATGTGGGATGCAAAAGTTTGTAGATAATAGTGCCACCTCATTCCATGGAAAGCAAAAGGAATTAAGCGCCACACCAGGTTGAAGTTAAGACAGATGAAAAGCAGTGTAAAGTTCGCGTATCTTCTGATACGGAAGAGATTGCCTTTCTCTCGTTGTCTCGAGCCGAAGCTTTGAAAAAGGAAACTTTGGCGTAGCTGGTAAAGTCGTTGCCGTGTGACCTTGTGGCCACCGGTTTGAACCATGGAAATAGGTGATTAGAGGAGGAAGTAAAGAAGGGAAAGGAATAAAGCTAGAAGAAGAAGAAAGAAGTGTAGTTGTTGTCCAACAAAGCAATCTCCTATTTATAGAAAACCGACGACGGAACCGGCGGCGCAAGTGGCCGACAAAGGCTGAAACGTATTTGACGTCCTGGGGAAGCACACTGACATGGCATTTCCGGTCACTTCAAGCGCCTACGTCACAACCATGACATCATCACAAGTGGTTCGGGAGAATCGAGGCTCAAATCATTTCATATCATTTCATTCTGAGAAACGCGGGGACTATCTGTACACGGTCAAAATCGAGGAGCATGATTTTGAAGTCTTAAATCGAGCTATGGGTCCGAGTCCGAGAGACTCGAAGTAGTGGTCAGATCCGGCCAAGACACATATACCCCAAGGAGGCTGATCGAAGGCCTGACACGGCCTACATCGAGGGCAGTACAATCTCAAAGTCAATCAAGAAAGAGCAGGAATTTCTCAAGAACGCGTGGATTTGGGCATTAATTACAGGATAAGGGTTGTACGAAATTGTACAGGTTCGTACTAGGCCGTTGTACACCTGTACCAATAGAATTCTTTACCTTTGTGAGCAAGGTACTATATTGGAGTTTTCTCCTTCTATATAAATGGGACCCCAATCATTTTGTAAAGCAGAGATCATTCACTGCAATAGAACATTCTTATTCTTCTCTTGTTTAACGTGCTCAGCAATTATTCTTCAGCTTTATTGTATTTATTTATTGTTCATACTTTATTAGTCTTAGCTGACCTCGAGGTCCCTAGATAGACGAGCTCGAGGCCCCTACTGTTCTGATAACATTAATTTGGTTCATTATTTCTTCTTACTTAAGCTCAGTATTACTCATATAATCACTAGTATTAGAATATGAGGGTGTTTGGGTTGGCTTATTTTAAGTGCTTATTGGCTTTTAAGCACTTTTTTAGTTTGTGTGGTGTTTGACAATGATAAAAAGTGCTTAAAAACACTTACTTTTAGGCATAAAAAGTACAAAAATAAACCAAAAGTCAAAAGTTGGGTATTACCAACCTATGACTTTTGGCTTTTAGCTTAAAAGCTAATTTTTATAAGCTAATCCAAACACTTTCTATATCACGTATCTTTAAAACCACAAATTATCTTTAATTGTTAATCACATTTTTCGAGGTAAACATTAAATGTCGACACCACTTACTAAAAATCCTGCTTATTACGCTCTCGAGGGTAAGGCTCGTACAATAGATCCTTGTGGTTCGACCCTTCCCTGCACCCCGCATATTACAGGAGCTTAGTGCACGGGCGGCCCTTTCATATCACAAGGGAGCCTTATGGTTGTGTTGTGAATCTGAAGGGTTAAATCACCTTTCTTTACCTTTGGAAGAATTACACATATTTTGGCAGGAAAGATAGAGAAGACAATCATTTTAAACTGAATATATACAGTATTAATTTTAGAACAGCGCTTTCACTGTGCATTTTGTTTTCACAGTAACTATTTATTGACAGGAAAGACAGAGAAAACAATCATGAGTTGCACATAAATAGTTACAGTAATAGATACTACCACTTTCTTTCATCCATACTTTCTCCTGATTGTTTGCTAGTCCCGGGTGAATTCAGTCATTTAAAAGAAAGCTACTGCTTATGAATATGACAAGAGTCCTAAATCTTGTGAATTACTGAACCATTTTGACTGACCTTAAAAATGGCACTAAAACTTAACAACTTAATGGAAAGAAAACTAAACGAGTACAAATTGAGTGGGATCTTCCAAATTCAGTCCTGGTCACTCCGATCCACTCATGAACATTATGCCAAAAGATAATGACTAGGATTCACTTCAAGATTTTGTTCTTTTAGGGGACGGATAAGGTCGTCACTAGAAAAAGAGAACAGAAGTTTTAACTCTGCAACTCTCATATTTAGTCAAAAATAATATTTAGTCATGTTACAATTATTATACTACAATCTTAATTTTTAATTAAAACAAGAAACAAAAAGAGATTAGGTTTATAATCTGACACTTACAGTTGACAACCAAAAAGATTTAATTATAATCAATACTGCATCATAATTCAATCCACATCGTATAGAACCACTAAAGAGAAAACATTTTTATTAAGAGTTTTTACATTTTTAAAACTCGAACTTGAAATCTTGAATTAAGATAAGAAGGATCAAAATTTGTTCCATCATACCCTTTAGGTGATAGAAGAAATAAGAAAATAACTATGGTAGGATCAAAAGTTGTTTTTAAAGTGTACTTGTAATAGGGAAAAGATAGTAGTTATTGGTCTTATAAAACATATTTTCTTCCTTTCTGATCCTTTTCACGTCCATGCTCATAGAAAAAAAGAGGCATGTAAGAAAAAGATAGGGGATCTTTTCACAAATATTAACTCTAATTGATTGTTTATTTTTCTTAATTGGTATATATAAATTATATACTGATGATATATATATATATATATATTGATTATTTTTAATTTAGGTGATTGAATGTATTGTAATTTAGGTTAACTCTTTATAAAGAAAAAAAAAAAAAAAAAGGAAAACCACTCTCCAACAAATTAAAGGAGCGTGGAATATGAGCTCACATTTCATTAGTATATCTGAGAGAGGATTCTATCCTGCCAGCAATTCCTCTTTGTCGTGTTCACGACATATATATTATATGCCATCTCATCTCCACCTACCTCCTCCCTCCTCCCTCCTCCACCAAAAACTCAGACACCGTCATCAACTTTCATTTTTCTTTTCTTAAATCTCCTTCCCTTTTGTACTTACAAAATCAATTCAATTGTTCATCATAAAACCGTCATTTCTCTCTATCTTCTAATTAATAGTAATAACATTTTTCTCCTATCCAATCGATTATTCTTTATTTCGTTTTCATTATCTGTACATCTTGTATAATAATTCAAAGGCATATTGGTCGAATTTTAGATGTTTCAATGACGAGTGCCATCGGAAATGGTTCGTTGTTTTATCGTACTCCGTCAAAATTTGATGGTGCTGACACCTCCTCGGAAAAGTTAGGAGTTCTAAAGCTACGGGCATGTAATTTTTGCAAAGCTGCGTTATTGGGCTTACCGCCCTTAAGGGCAATGGAGGCTTCTAGAACGTCTCATATCAATGGAAAAGCCGAAAATGTTCATCAGCCAGGATACAATTCAAACGATCGAGTACCTGCAAATGATTGTCCTGGCTTTTCTGGTATTGATATTTCGCTTTTGTTTTTCTGTATGTAGCTTTTCAGCAGAGGGCACGCTTTTCGAAAAACTATATATAGCTAAAAATAAATTAACAATGTATGTTGTAGAAGAAAATTTAACAATGTGTACTTAACTATGATCCGAAATCTGAGCCCGTTATACTGAAAAAGTAGTTGATGCAATTAGCACTCGCATGCTGGCTTTAAATCTTGAATATGTCTTTCTGTTGAAGAACTGTGAAATTATTCCTAGCTCATATTGCTATTTCCTGTTGTGTCCTGTAAAAGCATTAGAAGTTGTTTACATCTGATTTTCCTGGATTGATTGGACATAATTTTTCTTGCTTACCTGAATGAGACAACAATTTTAGTGAAGGTAGTTTTGGTGTCAAAAAAGTTGCAGTTACTGATGTGGTGAATGATCTAACTAGGTAAAAGTATACCTGGGATTTCTACAAACGGAAATTCAATGAACATTGTTTGGCACAAATGTTCCGTAGAGAAAAGTGACAGAGAGGAGTTGCTTCAGCAAAGGGGTTGTGTTATATGGATTACCGGTCTGAGTGGTTCAGGTTTGTTTAACATCCCATAAGCTCATTGCAGCTACAAATTCCTCTCTGCCACTTTATATTTTTGTGGGTATATTTTCATATGATGTACTGGCCGTTTCTGTATTTTCTGGGTTTTTTTTTTGGTTTAGTATTTTGTACATGCGTGTGATACTTCAGAACAATGCACTATGTACTAGGAAACACAATTGGGTGCTATATGACTTGAAATATTTGCGATGTACTAAGTCAAATGGTAAATATCCAGTGAAGTAAATTGAAGAAGTCTTAGAAACTAGGGGTAATGTCGGATTCAATGTGTTGGGGATTTAGAGATCTGTCTTCCTTTGGAAAAAGACAATGGGAGACCTTTAAATGGGTTGTTCCCCACAAATCCATTTAAAGCTAGTGAACAAGTCTGAAGTGCTAATTAACCTTCCATTTTGTTACCAAGAAAAGCATTTCTAGTTTCTCCATCAGCTATTTTGCCAACATATTGTGGGTCTTAATGTAAATTCAAGACTTAAATGTTGCAACCTCATATTTAATTGATTTTGAAGTAATAATTGGATTTATTTTTTTTTATATTTACTTGTTCTTTTTCTCTTTTCGGGCTTGGTCAATAGATTCATCTGAAACTAGCAGAACTCAGAATGCTTTTTGTAGATCAAAAGATTAGGCTGTCTTTCTTTAGGCATCACATTCAGGGTATTTGAAATGATCTCATTTGCAGTAGCATGTTGATATTTGGCTATAATTCTTTTGGTTATTATATGGTTATTCTGGAAGTCATGCTAACTGCTTTATTGCTACTTGAAAATCATAGATCAGCACGACAGCATTCAGCTATAATATACTCCTGCATTTTTATTTTCCCCGGTTATGCTTAGCTGATTACAGTACAACATTAAGAAATGACAGAATCATATGTCTACCAGATTTGGATATTTATCCTACGAGAAGTTTGCTTGACGAATACTGCTTTATCTAAGAAGCCATTCATCAGTAGACCAGGGAATAAGTATCTGAAAACCTGGAGCTGTAGCTAAAATACTGGAAAACAGTGTGTCAAACATGTCAGCATCAAATGGTGCACATGAATGCGATTTTAACCTGGTCTCTTTCAGACTGTTCAGTTGAATTCAGCATTATCTGTGAACAAGCTGGTTTAAAGTTATTATGCGAGTAGACATACTTGGAAGCACATGAATGATTGTTGCAAAACATCTTAATACACGGCCATTTATTTTGTTTTCATTTCTTAATTTCTTTGTTTTTTCTTTTTTATTAGCACCAACCACATTAGAAAAAAAAAAAAAACCCCCCCCCAACCCCCTTTTAAAAAAAAAAAGAACACATCAAGCAGTACTGTTTCCTTATAGCTCTTATTGCCTGGTTTCTTTCTTCAGTCTATGAGCTGTTTGATTGACACTTCACATTTTTCCATTTTTAAATATTAAACATGATTTCAGGGAAGAGCACTTTGGCATGTGCTCTAAGTCGTGGCTTACATGCTAGAGGAAAACTCACCTACATCCTTGATGGTGATAATGTCCGCCATGGTCTGAATTGTGACCTTAGTTTTGGAGCTGAAGATCGAGCAGAAAATATAAGACGGATTGGTTGGTTTCTACCTTTCCCATGTTGTTCCTTCTAGGATCTAACAATTGCATATGGTTATTTCACAGGGGAAGTGGCTAAGCTTTTGGCGGATGCTGGAGTTATTTGCATTGCCAGTTTGATATCTCCCTACAGAAAGGAGCGAGATGCCTGCCGTGCTTTGCTACCTGAAGGGGATTTCATTGAGGTTCGTAATAGGAATGGTACCCAAAGGATTAGCTTCTCAAGTGAGAGCTTGCTTGTTTGACACATCTAAACAGCTGATTGAGCTGGCTAATTTTTAGGTGTTCATGGATGTTCCTCTACGTGTATGTGAGGCAAGGGACCCTAAGGGATTGTATAAGCTTGCTCGAGCTGGAAAGATAAAAGGTGCTATCTGTTATATCAGCGTCTCCTCTTTTTTCTTTTTCTTTTTTGTGAACTAGGAAAATATATTATATACTAGCTGTTTACAATCTTGCACCTATGAATTTGGTTAATTTGAAAAGTAAGATCATGTCAAATAGGTGGTCGGAGACTTGAGTTTGCTTCACTCTTAGCTATTAAGTTACCCGTTACTCGAATTTTTGTGGCCCTACTGTAGCAGGCAGAGATCCTCCTCTCCTATGTTGTTTTCAGTTTTGTTGCATCCGCTTCAGTCTTAGTTCTTGAGGATGATCATAAAATGGTACTTACGCAATTTTGCAGGTTTTACTGGTATTGATGATCCATATGAGCCACCCCTGAAATCAGAGGTAAGACAAGTCTCTCTTCTTCTTTACATGATATGCTATATTGATTGAGGATTGACTGCTAAGCTCGGTAATTTCAATATCCAGATAATAAGCATTTCCTGACTTCATGACTTGACCTATATTTTTAAATTTGGGATACACCAAATAAGCAATTTATACTATAAGTTAATGTAATCTTTCAATCACCTCAGCTTTCTTGGAGCAGATTCAATTCCACCATGCTTTAATAAAGATGATAGAACAGAAGGTGTGGCTCTTCTCTAAATTCTGATTATTCCTGGTCTTGTATCTCTTCATTGTGCAGATAGTGTTGCGTCAGAACCAAGGGCTATGTGACTCTCCTAATGACTTGGCTGATGTAGTGATCTCATACTTGGACAAAAATGGATACCTGAAAGCATAACTGCTCATGACCTTATGTTCAGACTGAGATTTCGAGAGAGCTGTGTTTCCCTTGTGAATAAGTGGGATCATAATATATGTAGATTGAGTTAATCTGTGAACTAAACTTGCGGACATTTTGTTCGATAGGCCTAGCACTTCTGTTGTACAAGGTTAGGATCTGATCGCAGAAAGAAGCACTGCATTCATGTGCCTATCGACGTCCCAAACAAAGATAAAAACATAAAAAATGAGAATATCCCCTCCCCATAAGCTATAAGTTGTGAGGAAAGATTCCGTCCGTCATAGACTCATAGTTACAAGATGCTTTTACTGCCAGAAAATACAAGTGCTAGAAAGCTAATCTATTTGCATTTTGTTGTGCGCTAGGTAAGCAAGTGATTGAGAAGTTTCCTCCAAATTATGTCATGTAAAAGAGATTTGTGATGTCTGGCTTATGGAAGCATTTAAAATGGTAAACTTTGACTACACATTGGCACAATTATCAAAGTTATATTACTCCATTTGTTTTGTTTTGTTTCTTTTCGTTTTTCATCAAATGAAAAGCGTCTTGGAGCACTTTATAAAGTCCTCAGACATTCTGTGTTATCGGGTTTAAGACAACCAGAATATCCTCCCATATAGTTAACCAAAGGAAAAGAAAATTCAGAGTTACTATAACTTAATCACTTATCTTAAATCT